ACCTCGCCTCATCTCTTCTGGCTGCCCCCCCCCCCGGTTTAATACTGCATAATTATTATTTGGTTTATGTTTCCCAAGATTTGTGATTTAACATTATCACCACGTATTTCTTAGGGTTTATTAATTTTCGTTCCACCGCCTCTATCCTGGGTTTGTGCTGTTTGCTCTCGAGTTATTGTTATTATCTGATTTCCCGAGGTCAGAGAATTCGTTTTGGCTTAGGAATAACCCTGACTGCCAGAATTCTTCTTGATGCTTCGGTCAGGTCGTGTAGAAAATTATTAAAGGTGAAAATAACATTAGTATTGAATTAATAAATGAGGAGTAATGATCCACTGATGTAGATTGTAGCCTGGTTTTTAATTGGAGTGAGTGTGAGGATGGATAATGTTAGCTTCATCTTTGGTCGCTAAGTTTTTGATTTTTTACCATTTGTTAGAAGCATGAAAAAGTTAACCAAAACGAAACGCCTGTTTTCTATCCTTCGTCGGGGGGGGGGGGGGGGGGCGTGTGTGTGTGTTTTTTATTTGACTTTATGACTGACCCTTTCTGTTGGTGGGAGGGGAGGGTGTCATTATCTTTGCGAGAGTGACAAGACAGCTGCTCGAAAAGAGGGGGGGTTCCATTTGTTTGTGCTCCCAGCGACCCCGCGAGTGATTATATGAAAAAAAATATTGGCAAAATCATTATTAATATAAAAAATGGAAAACGCCTATATACTGTATACAACACAACTCCCCAAAGAGGGACGGCATGGCATCTTCACGACTGGCTATCAGAGGAATGATCCATCTCCTCCACCTCATTTACCACTGGTGGACCCTTAATTCCCTGGAAATGGACTATACTCATGTATCTCGGGCCCACATAACTAGACTTGAATTCTTAATCTCAAAGACCCTCCTCCCTTTCGTCTCAAAAGTAAGGATACCTGACCAACAGCTTTTTTACCACTGTCCTGGTCTTACGCAGTTTATTCTGGACCCCACTGAAGAATACCATAGCACATGGTCCCTGAACACCAGGCTATTGAACGATGTGGGCATATTAATGAGAATGATAAATCAGGTCACTAGTTTCATAGAAATTAGCTCGAGATCATCCCACCGAAGCTCCCCCCTGGTGGTCTGGAATGCCCTTAAAGCTACCGTCAGGGGCATTTTAATCTTAAAAGGTGCCTGGAGCTAGAGGAAAAACTGAATGAGAAACAAAGCCTATTTAAGACAACCCAATCTCGTGCGCCAAAGGGGAGGTCAATATATTAAAGCTGGAACTAAACAAGGTGTTTAATGATCAAATCTCCCTCCCATTATTTGGGTATTTCGGTAAAGTCACGTAGACAGGTTGAATTAATAAACATGAATAATAAAATAAACAAAAAACTACGACTTTTTGATCACAACACCAGCGATCGTCATCAGGAGGAAAAAATAGGTGGAAAGCTGCCGAAGGCAGGCTGTTTTTAAAGGTTTAGAATGGGCGTAGCCCAAGGGTCATAACGAAGTGGGCAGGGCTAGTGATGTTAACGTGAGAAATTAGCATGTTAATGTAAGATCGCAGAGCCGCTGCCACGTCGATGTCGGCACGTGGAGGTGGCTATGTTGGTATGAGAAATTTAACCTGTTAATGTAAAATCGGAGAGCCGAAGCACAGGGAAAATAAAAAAAAAACAATAACATCAGAAGGTGGCAGGATGGGAACATCACAGCCAGTTATGACGTAAACTGGTTGATGACGTCCTTACAATGATTGCTGAGTTTGTACCCATCCTATCGGTTGAAACTGTCTGTATATATGGATGGCTTCATGAACTAATGTTTGTTAATAGCCAGTGGGCTTACAAAGTAACTTCATTGGAGATAAATCATTTTCGTGTGAGCCAACTGCATTAAAACAATGATCAGCCACGGCCGAAGTGTTGGTCCTACAGCGTTTCAAATCTGCTTTATTCTCACGAACACAGTCCGAGACATGTCGCTTAGTTTCCCCAATGTAACTACTGCCGCAGACACAGCTTAGTTGGTAGACGCCAGGATATTGCATGTCAGGGATCCTATCCTTCACAGAAGGGATCAGATCACGAATTTTATGAACTGCATTAAATCAAACCTGGATCTTGTGTTTGCTCATGATTTTGGAAATATTTTTGGGGACCCCTGCTATGTATGGCAAGATGATGGTTTTGATTCGGTCCTCAGATGGTTCTTTCTCAACGGTTGGGGTGATAGCTTTATGGATTGTGTGGTCCCATTATCCATTCATCTTGAGAGCTTGGTGCACATATTTCAGTTCACTGGCTAGGTGATGATGGTCGGAGTTACATCGAGCTCTATGGTGTAGATTTTTGATGAGGGAATTATTCTGGGATGGAAGTTGGTGGGAGTCAGGTTTTAAATAGGCATCCATATGGGTGGCTTTCCTGTAGACAGTGTCCCATTGAGCCATCTGGTCTCTTTTTCGATTAAAACATCCAGGAATGGTAACTTGCCATCATTTTCCACCTCCATGATGATTTTGATGGTTGGGTGTATGGAATTGATGTGGTTGAAGAATTGGCCCAGAGCTGGTCGGCCATGTGGCCAGATGACGAACGTGTCATCTATGTACCTCTTCAACAATGATGGATGTAGAGTGAATGCCTGGATGGCATTTGTCTCAATTTTTTTTATGAAAACATTGGTTATAACTGGAGATAAGGGAGAACCCATTGGAGTGCCTTCAACTTGTTTGTACAATGTTCCATTCCAGGTGAAGTATGTATTGGTGAGGCAGTGTCTAACAAGGGCCGGTACATCAGCATTCAATCCTTGTTGGACTACATCTTCAATGATTGCAATGGTGTCGGGCACAGGAACTTTGGTGAACAAAGAAACTACATCGAAACTAACAAGCAACTCACTTGTAGATAGTGAGATGTCCTTAATTAGGGATACCAAGTGAGCTGAGTTTAGTACAGATGAAGTGGTCTTACCAATGAATGGTTGCAAGGTCTCAGACAGAAACCGCGCCAGTTTGGAGGTGGGTCAATGGTGTGTCTGTCTGTGTGACTCCGTGTCTGTGTTTTGTCTCTCTCAAATTTAGTTCTACCTGATGATGGTTGCTTGTGTTGCAATCGAAACGTCGTGTTCTATTATTTAATGTATCTTCTTTTTGCGTGACTTTACCGAAAGAACCAAATAGTCTTCAGTTAGCTCCGCTCACTCGTATCCACCTTTGTCTGGGGCCACAAGGTGACCAGGATCGACAATCATACCTTAACTCAGGGGAAGACATGCGGTCGGTTGGCGCTACCTAATTTTGTTAAGTACTACTTATCGCGAGGCCTCCTTATGGGCAAGAATTGACTAAAAAAACAAATAGAACTCCTGGAAGTAGTGGGAAGAGGTATCAGTATCCTCCTGGAGCCTTAAAGAAATAGTCCACTCGCACCATATGGATAAGCCCTCGGATTTTTAACCACCACCCTCGGTCAACACAACCCACTGGATCCTGAGAAATAGACCGATCCCTATCACCTTTGGCCTCCAGCGACTCTCCCCTATTAGGATAATCTATCCCTCAGAATTGGGGGCAAGGGGGTCAGCTGACTGGTTTGAAAAAGCAGGAATCAGGAGGGTGACTCAGGGGGGTGGACATCCCTAATAACGATTTTTTCAAAAAATTCCAGATCAAGGACTCTATTACAAAGGCAAGGGATGTTGACCTCTAAAAGATTCCCTCCCCGATATGGGTATGGCTGCCAGAGAAGAGGGTCCACTAAAAAATGAGGCATATCAACTCCGACTCCCGGGCCCTACTGAGGTGAGACCAAACACCACAGTGCATGGTAAGGCACTGGGCTGCCCGATCCCATCAGTCTTGTAAATTAATTTGGCTTAGGATTCCTCCCTTTCAGGTCGTCTCAATTTAAGTTCATTCATTTCACACATCTCACTAAGCAATGGAAAGATACATCTCCCAGACCATATCCCCAGACTGCCCTAGGTGCCTCCTGGGCACCATCCAAACGTACATTTACATCTTCTGGAACTGTCCCACAATCAAAACATTCTATGATAAAATAACCGATCTGTACAACGTGAAGACTGGCACCAAGATACTATCATTGAATCCTCCCTCCTCAGCCTTAAACCCCAAGGTATCACCAGGCACCAACACACCCATCTCCGAGCATTTTACATTTCGGTTACAATGACCTTCATGAGCTCCTGGAAGAATAATGGGGCCCCCTCAATCACCTTCTGGCATAACTCCCTATTTGCCAAAGCAGCTTTAGAAAACCTGAGTCTGAAACTGAGGAATAGGAAGGGGGAGTTCACCCAGATCGGGGGCCCCATCGTGAATGCCACTCCAGAGACCAGGTTTACTTGATGGAACTTGAAATGAGACTGCCTCCCCCCCGCCCCCTCCGCCCCCGCCCCCTTTTCCCCCATTCCTTCCCCAAAGAGAAGTCATCTGCCACACGTACCATATAACGTTATGGTCCAACACATCCACGTTGGTTTTCTGTCCGAGCGGCCTATCCCGCTATACACCACTCACCTGAAATTGTATACCGTGGTTGAATGAATAAAATGTTACAAAACACAATCTAGAATGAAAACTCATTTATTTTAAACAGATCGTTGTGTTTAGTTTGTTGTCCTTGGCTACATATGGTGCGAAAGAAGTTCAAGATTCATACATTACAACCCGTGGCCAGTCGACGCCAACTACCACTTAGAAACGGGCTCAGGACAGCTGGGTAATAACGATGATGTAAACTCGTGCGTTGTCATCACACAGGAGCAGCTTATTGCTGGCATAGAGAGAGAGGAAAGGACTCAGAGGCGCCAGGAGGATGAACCACTGATGAGCAGGATGGCAGCAGCACCAGCGATAGTTTTAGGCCCCTGTTTTTTTTCTGGTAAGTTTTAATCCTTTCGATTTAAAGCTTTCGTGACTGCAATGATTCATCTTCTTTGGTTCTTTCGGTAAAGTCACGTAGAATGAGAATAAAATATATATAATAATTGATAAAATACTTTACCGAAAGAACCAAAGAAGAAGTTTTAATCCCTCTGAGTTTATATAATTAAAACAAATACTTTACAAGCAGTCTTTTCAATATTGTGTATCTTTAAATTTTGTTTGTTTAATTTTAACTTGCGTGGTGAAGTAGCATTTAACTCGTTTCCATACATGTCAACAAAGCAAGTTGCACCAACACACACGCACACCATAAGCACTGCCTAGGAACCCTACGATCATTCTCAAATATCGTATTCTTGATGGAGACTGCTTGCAGCAAAATGCGGCCTTGGAGTAAATTGTGAGAAAAGTGGCATCATTGGGTCTTAGAAAAGCCGTTTGGTACAGACCCTACCGCAAGAAGAAGGAAGCAGAATATGAAAATTCCAAGAGAGTTAATTAAACGGTTTTGAGATATCTATTGATCTACAATGTTAATGAACACCTATTAAGTCCGGCATGGCAAACAAGGGGGTTGGTTGGCCAACTCCCCATCCGGCAACCTTTGTCTCCGAAGTTGCAAGACTTACATATAATATAGGTTACTCATTAAAGGCGGTCAATTAATTTGAGGCCCAGGACCAGCTCGGATAATTGTCAATGGTGTTGGCCGCGAACAGGAATCAAACTCGTGTTGCCGGGTTCGTCGAGCAGGATAGTAATCGTGCACCACCATTCCCCACTCGCGAACAAACACATACACACGAACCCACTTTGGAGCTACTACGATGTCTTTGAAGGAGAGTTTCCACTAATGACCAGCTCCATGTTCTCAAAACACACCGAATCTAACGAACCACGTCGAGTGCTCAAATAACCATTTGACAATGCGAAGATTACGAAACCTGTTCCCTGCAGATCCACAATTGGATTGTGAATGAGTTTTTACACGTTGACCAATGAACTCGTGCTTAGTGACTGATCGACGACGAACATCGTCCCACGTCCTGTGACCGACGATGGCCATTCTCAAATTATGGCCTCGACATTCCAAACCAGCTGCTCGGTGAAGTCTCACGCAAGAGCGTGCGTCGTTAGAACGTTGGTTAATGGACAATAATCAAGGAACACGTCGGTACAGCGTCGTCAAGACGCTTAACTGGGTGGGAAGTACGACCTGGGGGATTGTTTCAAGCCGGCTTCCCTGCAGCCCGCCGATGTTCACGGTGAGGTTGGTGTAGAGGGGGCTCATCGTCCGTTTCACCAGCAAGTAGTGCAAAGAATTCAGGCCGTCCCACTTCATCCGTGAAACTGCCCGCCGGATCAGGTGAAACCTGTGGAATAAAAACAACAAATATCCCCCCGTATAGCTTTTAACATATTGTTGGGGTAAGTGCTGTTAGTCAGCAACGCCTATGAAGGCTGGCACGGCACACCTATGAGGGGGTGGGGTGGCCACTACCACGCCCCGGCCACCTTTGTCGTTCCAGTGGTCATGTTTGCGATGCTTACACAGCACACCTGGAAATAATTTGAGGCTGAGTCGACCAAGGTAGGCTCAGGACCACTTCACATAATCGTCACAGGTGTTGTCGTGAGCAAACTTAAACTCTGGTCCTGCTTTCATAGCACAGGCGTGCTAACTGCTATATTACTGCTCTCCACACAATCAAGTTCACACATTAGCTTTCACATTGGTTCCACACACAAACGCTCCCAGCACGACGCTGACTCATTACATCTAGCGGAGGATTGTTCCACTGAAAAAAATATTTTTGCGCTTCAGTTTGCAAGTGCAAGTTAGCATTTTATTCAATGTTAAAACATATTTCATGTAAACTGGTTCGTAAGTATACTCTTTGGTTCTGCTGGATTATTATTTTTCCGCCTGAGGACGACCGCTTGTGTAGCGATCAAACGTCGTGCTATATTATTGCTTGTTTTATTTATTTTTCTACCTACGTGACTTTACCGAAAGAACCAAAGAGTGTGGATTCGTAAGTGTGGGTGTCATATGTCAGGTATTAGTAAGTTCAGGACTGCCTGTATTAATTGACAGCAACTCATGTTATGTAATCTACCACGCACCAGACCTTAAATTTGTGAGATGTCAAAGAGCTAAAGTAGCTTGGTCTTCTGGAAATAACTGGGTTTTGTTAATAAAACGGATAAACAATATGAATAACGATTATGTCATCATGTAACTGCATCACCACCACACATGATTCTAATCTTTATACAGCACCTTCACTCAAGGTGCCAAATAGAGTAAAAAAACGGTCACAGAATATAATTATTTATACTGTAGCGGCATGCAAGGGTTGTGGAATGAAAAAGGATACAGGGATCAAAGAGCATAAACCATCCAAGTGAACTCCGGTCATCCTCGAAGCAGTAGCTTTTGGCTGGCCATTAAACAAAGATGGTCACTGCATCGCACCGCTGTCAGATGTGCTTCCGATATTAAGTAGCCGCTGGAGTTATACACTTGCAAAGCATTTAAATTTATATATATATTTTTTACTATTTGTGTTTGATTTGTTGGCCTTGCCCCAGCACCTCTGATTAGCACGGTTGGCTACGTACTATGGCGAATAAGTTAAACACACATACATCAGGAAAGGAGAGGTGATGGACGGGAAAGGAGTGGATGGGCGAGAGGAGGGATGAGGAAGATAATGGACGCACTCTCGCAGAAAGCAGTTCAAAGGCGTGAGGAAGAGCAACTACAGACAAGTGGAGAGGCAGCAGCAATGCGGTGGTGATGAACTAGGGGTACCAACAATTTCCGAAGCTTTGCGTCCCTTTAAAAATGAAGGTGTTATCTGCCAGTTTATCATGAGAGTTTATACAAATGGGAGGAAACCAGAATACGCTGATAAACTGTGTATTAGCATAGGGATAAACACATATCCCGTACAGGTGAAACAGGTCTAGTTCACATTTTTTGCTGTACCGCGTACTGCTAGAGCGAGGGAATGGCTCCTCCACGCCACCCACCCACGGGGATGGGACTTTCACAGCCCATCCAAGCGTGATCCATCAACCCTCGGCAATGCTGCCTCCGCAGTGCTGGATTACCCTGCTGCCACTTGGAACACAGCCAGCACCACTACCACTGCGCATAAATTGAGGACACAGAATTATGTTGATTGCGATTTATGATCAGTCCGAGCGAATTCTATACTGACCGTTGGGGGTTGGGCTCGTTGTGAGCATCGGCCTTGTGTTTGACCATTGTGTACCTCCCGATCCCCGCTCTGGGCCGGGAGACGTGCAGGCCACTCGCCACTGTCCTGCAAGGGGATTTCAGACAACGGTTGTGAGATGTTAACTCCCTTGCCTGGTATACAGGAGGTCGTGGGTTCTATCCCGACCCCGACGTCTGTATATTTGGAGTTTGCATGTTCTTCCCGTGGTGGCATATATTTTCCCTGGGTCCTCCGGTTTGTCCCTCGACAGTTAGAAACATCTGTTTATATTATTTGGCTGCTGCTATACATTTCCACATGATTATAAACTATAATTTTGTGATCGCCAGGTTGCTTTTGACAAAGAGCAACATAGCTCAGTCGGCCCTTACCTGATAAAATAAAAAATATTTGAGTTTAGTTTTTAGAACAGGTAACACCCAATTAGCTTTGTTCTTTTTCAGAGGCGACCTGTCTACCTGTGTTGATAGCTCATCATCATCGCAGTCATTGATATCATGTGATTTGTGTGTGGAGCGACTGCATTGGAAAACGCGCTGCGAGAGTGGGCGCGGAGCCGCGGCACGGGCGCACGGTGAGGTAATCGCTCGCAGGGGCGGTTGTACCGCTGTGCGCCGCGACCGCCTAAGTGGTGGTGTGCGCAGAAGAGTGAACGCGGAGCCGCAGCGTGTGCGCGTGTTAAGAGGAAATCGCTCGTGGGTGCGGTCGTACCGCTGTGCGCCGCGTTAGCGTGAGTGGTGGCGTGCGCGGAAGCGTGAAAGCGGAGCCATAACGTGTGCCCGTGCTAGTAACGTGTGCCCGTGCTAGTAAATAATCGCCCGCAGGTGCGAGCGCGGTCGCGGCCCTGCGTTAGCGTTGGCTGTGGTGTACACGGGTGAGTGTGGGTTAACTCCGTGCAGCGGTGAACCAGCAGTTTAGCTATGTCCCTCAGAGAGGGCGCTAGCGCAGGGGCGGTGGGGCGATCACCAGGTGGAGGAGGGAGCGGACGTCGCGCCCCACCTGCCCAGCGAGGGCGGTGGGGTGTACGGAGGCCCTCACACATCTCCTCGCCACCGGCCACCTCCCATCACAATAATCATCACAAGCGGCAGTCGTTGTTGTGAATATCATCAAACTATACAGGCAGATCAACACGTCTCATCCTTCACAGCCCGTCTCTGCGCATGAAAAAAGTTTCACGTGCACATCCCGTCAGCCACACGCACGGCCTGAGCGTGCATACTATCATCTCTAATGAGCATTTGATGCAACGCTGGTTGCAGCCTTGCACACAAAGGCCAGTTAGTGGAAATTCCATATTCTTATGGCAGAAGGGAGGCGGGGTGATTCTCTTCGATTTTACGTCTATTGATTTCCCGACCACAAAGTGCGGCTCATTATCTTTAATCATAACTGATTTTTTTCGTCAAATTGCGCAAGTAAAATGTTGTGTTGTACACCCTCCTCCATCCGAGGCAGACAATTTAATAAAGTGTCCACGTGAAGTACTATTAATTACTGCTTGAGTAGCATCGGCTCAGCACGGGCGCGATGCTGTTTAGCGATCCACATGGACACCATGTTTAACGAATACGTTATAAGGTCGGGCTCATTACAAACAAAGTGCTTTCCACAAATGAACCAAATACCTTATTCATCTGGTCAAGAAGCATAAACCATCACGTGAACTCCGGTCATCCTTGCAGCAGCGGCTTTTGGTTAACCATTGAGCAAAGATGGCCACCGCATCTCGCACTTGCAGATGCGCTTTGTGGCTGCCTTGAATGCTCTTACTCCCGATATTAGGAAGCTACTGGAGCTATGCAATTTTGAATATAAATTGAAAACTAATTTCTTTAGGACTGCGTTTTGCTATTTGTTTGTTGTCCTCCCCCCACACCTCCGATTAGTACGGTTGGCTACATTGTGTTAAAGAAGTTCAACATACATATGAAAATAGGACGATGGGCCTCTTTGTCCATGAGATGTCTTTATTTCTACGGGACGGATTCACACGTTTACTCGCTTTCTCCTGCAACGTCTCGAGCTCCACATCCCCTCTCTCTTTTAACCTTTTCCTGGCTCCGCCCTTCGATTCACTCTGTCTCCACCAATCCTCATCTCTTCCCCTCTCATGAACTAACCATCGCCCCATCTCAATCACCGACTTTCCTGCTATTTTCCATTTTGAACGTCCCAGCCAATCCTCTTGCTCCCCGTGCCCTAACCAATTAGAGCGTGAAGTGTTTTCTCCACCCGTCTTGATTGACCGGCGATTCTTGGTCTTTGACGAGTAAGCGCCGCTCTGTTCTCTAGTTCCAGGGACTGTGTGGCACGAACGTTACACATACATTAACAACGGGGTACAAACGCCTACTGGCACAAGACAGAGGAAAGTAGAAACAAATTACAAAATGTACAGTGGACACCTACGGGCTATCTGGCCATGGATTGTGATGACGATGTGAGTCTATGAGTATCTGTGTGAGTGTCCGTGTGTGTGTAGCGGGGAGCGGTAGTGTAGTGGTTAGTGCGCTCTGCTATGAACCTGGCGACCCAGGTTAGACTCTCACTCACGGTCAACACCAGTGACGATTATCTGAACCGGTCCTGGGCCTCTCCTAGGTTGGACAGCCTCAATGAGTACCTGATGCGATGTGTAAACATCGCTAGTCGGGAGACAAATGCGGCCGAGCGTGGTGTTGGCCACCCATCTCCTGGTGTGCCTTGCTGGCTTTCATAGGTGCTATACGGGGATCTTTTTCTTCGTGTGGGGGGGGTCTGAACAATGGTGCCAGAAAGATGTGCCACTAATTGAGCATATTGGCACGACAAGACAGAGGAAAGGGGAATCAAATTATGAAATGTACAGTGGACATCTATGGGCTATCTGCCCAAGGATCGTGATAATGATGATGATAGGCGTTTTGCTCCTCGTTGTCAAAGTCAGCAGCATCAGCCTCCAAAATAAAGGGATGATTGGCTGAGTCAACACTCCCCACCCTTGATCTGTGATAGTGAACTCTCGAACCCTCGGCTATCGCGAGTCACTCGCTCTACCGCTCTGAGTCGGTCAAGGCGAGGTAAGGAACTCACTCGGCGATACCAATGTTAAATACATGGGCAGAGCTCGCTTAGCGCTCCTCAAGATGCGTATTCCCTCAGCGAAGCGAGCCCTAATTGAATCAACGCTCAAAGGGGTCATTGTATTATTTTATACAACACAGATATGCGTTTCGGACAGTAAAATATATTAGGTCTTCATTGGAGTATCGGTAACAGTGCTAATAGTAAAGATCATTGTTTCATAAAATAATAACTTATTATAATAACATTAGTAAGTATCATGTACTGTACTCATGAGTGCATTCTACTTAACTCCTACAAGGCAGCAGTGAGAGATGCGGTTGGAGGAGCTGCTGCGCTCGCAGTCCGGGTCATTTTCTGAGAAAAGCTCCAGCACCTCTGTGATCCGAGTAATGGTGAGGTTTTATTAGGTGAGGCCTTTATTTACGTGTAGTGACTAACTCGGAGATGATAAGACTTGGAGGCACTTCTTTATTACCGAGCACCATCGGGATTAATACACTTAATATTTAGTCCGTCTATTATCGGCGATGCAACTCAGATAGGACTAGCGGTGCCCCGAGATGATAAAGACAGAGATGACGACAAGAAGAATGGTGAAGACGACGAGAAGAATGGTGAAGACGATGAGAAGAATGGCGACGATGGTCTTCAGCAGCACGATGGGGATCCCTCTCCAACAACAGCTCCGAGGTCCCCCACAGGGGCCCCTCTTATGCTGTCAGCGTTGCCTCGGTCTGCCGTCGACCACGGTCCATTTCTGGAACCTTCCAGCGGGTTCCTGGTGTGCCCCTTCTGTGACATTTCCCCTAGATCCCCCTCTCGTGTATATCCTGGCCTGCTGACGTCAGGACTGCCATACGCCGCAGATCCCCTTTTCTGCCAGCAGCCAGTGCGATGCCACTACATGTATTAAGTCATGGCTATACGATTACTTAATAGTAGCCAAATGTGTCGTAGAGCCCTGACATGAACATTGCAGGACCTGACTATATTTTGCACGTGGTGATCAAACGACATATTCTTGTCAAGTAAGGTGCTGATGCTCTTTAGAGGAGTAGAAAACGTATCACTGAAGTCAGCAACTGCCACACCTAATCTTCCCACACTTTCACCTGAGCCAAGAGGGCCAACCAATAGTACTTTATATTTTCTTGGATTAAGCAGCATTTAGTTTCGTGAAACTATACAAACACCACTTGCGTGCAATCTTCGAGATATTGCTGAGGCTCTCCATATCTAACTTTGACTTCACTGTGGTGTATAATTTTGTATAATCAGCATATCTATAAAACTGGATGTCATGTGATGAGATGCCATCGGCGATCAGAGAAACGTTAAAAATAGGAAGGGTCCGAGGGCGGTTCCCTGTTTAATGACAACTAGGCATGGCATAGGAGATGACTGTTCATCACCCAGCTTGACGAACTGTGATTGATCATGCAGGTCGAACTCAATCCATCCCAGTGCCGTACACAATACACCAAACCTTTAACTTAGCCCCAGGATGAGTATCTCATGGTCACTGGTGTCGAAGGTGGCTGAGAGAAGATCGAGGCCAACCAATGCTGCGGTAGACCGGTCATTCATGACCAAGTAGAGTTCATCATCGATCTTTAGTAGAGCTATCTTAGTGATGTGGAATTTCCAGTATGCCGAATACAACCTGTTGAATCTGCCCATTGCAAACATGTGGAGAAGTAACCGCTGCAGCTAAATTCATTCTATTACTTTTTAAAAGTTTGCAGATTTGAGATTGGGTGATAATTGCGGGGTCACTAAGGAACAAACTAACTTTTTTTTCAGGAGTAGTGTTAACTGTGCCATTTTAAACCAGTCTAGGAAACAGCCCTCGCTGAATGAAAGATTTCCGAGGTTGACTATTAGCAGTACAAGCACGTCCAAGCATGATGTGAGAATCGACGTGTGGATGTAGTCAAGCGGCGATGTCTTATTTGGCAGCCATGCGATGAACTTCTACACCTCGGCCACTGACATTGGTCCCAGGGTCTCAGGTTTTGCATGGGTTCCAGGTTGATCAAGCTCATATAGCTGACTGTGTAGCCTTCAAGTTTGAAACTGCCATCTTGAACGTCGCACGTAGTGCACACATCGGGTTGACTAGTTGATGGGTGGTTGGAGTGCAGCAGACACTTCACGATACGGCACAGAGCACAGAGGTTCTGTAAGTAAGTAAGACTGTCCTGAAACTAGTTTTATTCCAATATGCTCCAGCCTCCTCCGGGTCTGCTTCGGTGTGATCGCTTCCAATGAATGATAACATGGACTTTCCCCATTTTATTTGTGCTTGTTCAGATGGAAACGAGTTCACTAAAAACAGCAGTTATGTAAATTTATAATTGAGTTGCAAATTAATCGACCGTCGATGGAGGATTAGACACGCTGATGATGACCAAATGTTCTAACTGAAAATATGGTGGGGTAAAAACGTTTGCAGTCTCTGTATAATATTGTTGTGATCAACTGTGATCTAAAATACCCACACATCCAATAACATTGGTCACAGTTACGGCATTGGTGGACGTGAAGATGCAATCCATTATATTTCCAGAGTGACATGTTGCGTTGCTTACGTAATGGGTTAAACTATCTGTCGATAATATAATCTAAGCGAGATCACTGTTGATTTTACCACAAGAACGGGTCGGTCTGGGACAGTTCAGGTAACCTACAATCCAGCAGACTGGAAAGCTCGGAAAATAATTCCTACGAAGGTAAAGACGGAGGTCGATAGATGACAGTGGTCATAAGCGACCGCATTCTGTTCGTTATTTTCATAAGCAGCAGCTCAAATGACGTGATTGTTGATGAATATCTCAGGACTTTCACGCAGATTTCTTCACAGTGAATCAGTGCTATCCCTTCAATATGTGAGCTGCCAGTGACAGGCTTCCTGCAATGGTGCTGATGTACCATAGCGTATCCATTCAGTGCAGCCTCATGGTCACTTACGTCCGGTGAGTTGTCATATACCAAGGTTTGAGGAACGACCAATATGTACTCTCCACAATCGTTAATCAAATCGTGGATCAGCGCCATACCGTTGACTATAGAGCATGCATTGGCCAATCCAAATTTGAGGAGCCCTGTTCCAGGGCTTGTATCGATATCTGACATCAGCAGCAGTATGGCTATGAAGGTGTTCTTCCATGATTGCGTGGCTGTAGGGCGGAAGAAGAACCGACTAGATCTGCAGCACAACCATGTGCGAAGCATTGCAACAAGTGACAAACACGTTCGGTTAGGGGTCAGCATTTCCATAGCAGATCGTAGTACATTGGGTGCAGAACTCGAGTAGTTTGAATTGGAAAGTGGGCCAGCACCATCTTATGCACGTTGAAAGCTGGCCTGAGTCTGTTAGCGAGTCCCACTGAAGTATAGGCGACGTTTGGATGAGATAGAATCGGTTTGTCGATATAAGCCAAGATAAATTCCCGGTATGGCCCCCATTCTCCACGGAAGATATGAGGTTTTACTTGACCAGACCGCTTGGCTCGCTCAGCGGGAATCCCACAAGAGCAGGTCCCAGCTGCAAGCAGCCAGAAATCAGAAGCCATCACAAGGTTTTGTTGCTGTTATTGCTGATGTTATTCCTGCGGAGGAAGGGGGTGAAGGGGGGCTGGGCGCAGAGGGGAAGTCTCTCACCGTCTAAAGAAGTCATCATCCTCCCCTCCCCAGCCCCAGTAGAGATTCGAGAAGCCGTTGATTGTCTTGAACTGAGCCCTGGACAGGGCAGAGACGCCTCCGAAGGACTGCAGGTACGGCAGCCTGGGAGTGCACAAATTAACACCAAGGACATAGATCCCCATAAAAGAGTACCATAAATGTGAAAACATCTGTTTTGTTTTCCTAATGGTGGCTGGCTTGTTGAGGAAGAAGCGCAATAAGTAACCCCAATTGCATACACGGGCACGTGCGTACGCACGAGCACGTGCTCTTAGCGAGTAGCATCTATGAAGGCCGGCAAAGCACATGATGGGGGTGGGGTGGCCAGCGTAATGCCCGGCAGCTTTTGTCTCCATAATGGCGATGTTTACACAACGCACCAGGCTGAGTCGACCTCACATACTCCCACTACTGATTCAGATAATCAGCACTGGTGTTAGCCGTTAAGTGGAGATTGAACTCGGGTCACTGGGTTAGAAGGACACTAATTGCTACACCATCTGACATGGCCATTATGAACACCCACTCCACCCACCCCATGACACCTCACCCACCCACCGCACCTCACCCACCCACCGCACCTCACCCAACCACCGTAACTCACCCACCCCACCCTACTCCACCCCATCCCACCCCACACACTCACTCATCCTCATACCCACTCAATAACCTACCTATTCAGTCACTCAATCACCCACACACTCATTCATTCAGTCACCTACCCACTCAATCACCCACCCATCCTACCCACCCAGCCACCCACATCGTCGCCCACCACCTGAAATCGAACTTGTCTACGGCCACTGAGAGGTGTTGCGGCTGCTCCCCACATCGGTAGAGGTTGCGGTCATCCAGGGGGATGAGGTCGACGTCAGAGAAGATGAAGCAGTCGAAGGGCGCGTCTCTGAGCGCTTCCACGTAGCCCACGTTCATCAGCTTGGCGCGGTTGAAAATCCCGTTACCAGCCTAGAGGGGGAGGAGGGGTTGGAGAACACGAGGTGGGCACGGTGGGATTGGCAGGGGGGGGGGGGGCAAGAGTGGGTATCATCAATAGCAGTTTCAAGTGGATGACTGTTGGTGGTCTAGAGTAGAGGCATCATCGTCATCATCAGCTCAGTGCGGTTAAACGTCCTGCTACCCGCCTGGCAGGTGGGCACAGGGTGGCATGGGGTGACAAGCAGTGGAAAAGGGGTGGCAAGGGGTGGGCGTCAAGGGCATCATCATCAGTAGCTGTGTCAGGAGGGTGATTGATGGTGATCTGGAGTAGAGACATCATCATCAGCTCAGCGCGGTTAAACGTCCCACTACCCGTGCTTGGCAGGTAGGCACAGGGTGACACGGGGTTGCAAGGGGTGGTAAGGTGTGGGGGAACATGGGGCACATAGTGGGCAGCAAGGGCAGCATCATCAGTATCAGGATGATCTGAAGTAGAGCCATCATCGTCATAGACGATGGGGGAAGAGGGCACAGGGGGGGGGGGCGGTGGAGTGGGGGGGGTAGCGAGTGACATTATCATCGTCTTTGGCAGTGGCAGTAGCAGCAATATCATCATTACGATGGCCAGCATGATCATCATCAGCAGCAGGAGCATCACCATCAACTAGGCTGAAGTTGCTGCAACAGCAGCAACGCCAGCTGGCGCTCTAGAGCTCGGCACGCAATCACCACGGCGACCACCATCACCACATCCATCACCTCCATCACCACCACGTCTAAAACGACCACCACCGCCACCTCTGTCACCTCCGATACCAATTCCTACTATTCGCCACTAAGTGACGGCTGCTTGAGTAACAGCGCCAGGTGGCGTGCATGAGCTCGGAACAGGATCACTACAGCGACCACCATCACCACCTCCATCACCACCAGCACCACCATCAGCACCTCCATCACCACCACCATCACCGCCTACATCACCACCCCCATCATCATCAACATTACCTCCATCGCCATCATTACCTCTACCACCATCAAAAACAAATACAAAGACAAAGGTACCAGGTTTAGCTTTCAACATACTGTTGGGGGAAGTGCTGTTAGCGAGCACCTATAAAGGCCGGCACGGCAAACGAGGGGGTGGATGGCCAACACCATGCACGGCCTCCTTCGTCTCCCTAGTAGCGACATTTACACACTGCATCAGGTACTAATTTGAGGCCGAGTCAACCTAGGGGAGGCCCAGGACCAGTTCAGATAATTGTGACTGGTGTTGGCCGCGAGAGGGAATCGAACTCAGGACGCCGGGTTCGTAGCGCAGCACGCTAACCGTTACAATACCACCATCACCAACATCACCACCTCCATCACCACTTCCACCATCACCACCACCGCCCATCGCTCACCTGGGTGATCACGTAGACCGAGTAGTGCGCCTGCTGTCTCTGGAGCATGGGGTGCAGCTGCTTAAGTAGCAGCGCCAGGTGGCGCTCCCGAGCTCGGAACGGAATCACCACGGCCACGCGCTGCTGGGCCAGACAGCCGTCAGGGCGATAGGTGCCCCCAGGGCTTACCAGGGGGTTGGACTGGGACACCGACTCCAGGCTCGGAGTCGAGGAGACCTGGACGTTCATGGGACCCACTGTGTGGGTGTGTTACAGGATATAGGTGATCGCTAACAACAGTTGCCCCAACATTCTGTTAAGGTTATAAGGGGTATCTTTGTGTTTAGTTTGTACAACGTAGGGCACAGGTCGTGCATCTGCCAGTCATCTCAGTCTACCCATGGCACCTGGGCCAGTCCCGTGTTCTCCTGCCAGTAGGGAGCCTTCAACACGTCATGTGGTCTCAAGGTGCACCTTGCCTGGCACATGCACTGTGGTGACATCACCACCACTTAGTAGCAATCGTAGGATGTTGTTTGTGTGTCAGTGTCGATGCGTGTAGGTGTGTGGTGATGATAACGCTGATGATGATGTTGATGATGTTGATGATGCTGTCAGTGATGGTGCTGGTGATGGTGCTGGTGATGGTGCTGGTGATAATGCTGATGTTGATACTCATAATGATGCTGCTGCTGATGCTGTTGCTCCTGATGATGCTGCTACTGATAAGGATTCTGCTGCTAATAATGCTGCTGCTCATGGTGATGCTGATGATGCAGATGATGATGCTGCTGATGATGCTGCTCACGCAAGGCGGGTGGAGAGTCCGGGCACATTCTGCTTGCTGCGCTCGTCCCATTGTGCCTCTCTGCACCGCCTCTCTCGCTGTTCATCCGCGCCAGGGCACGAACCGGTTCAGCAGAAGTCCTAGGCCAATTCGTCAACAGCATCGTGGGCCAAGCCTCGTCCTCTCCTCCTCTCCCTTCTCCAGGCGTCTCCTGCCCCCCGCCCACTCGCTTAGATATAAGGAGCAAGGAGGAGGCGGCTCCTCTGGACCAAGGAACCCGACGGTTCACAACCAGGAGCCATCCCAGCTGCAGCACGCAGAGCACTGCAAAGAGTTTTGCGATGAACCTGAGCAGCGAGGAGGCGACGACAGTCATGGTCCTGAGTGCAGGAGACAGAGGGGGAAGGGTGGTGGTGGCTGAGTGGGTGGGTGCGAGTGGGTGTGGGAAGCTGCATATATGGATTTTTCTCGACATATGAACATAATTTGTTCCTGAGACCCGTTTGTAAATGGAATGGTTGATTAGTCGGAACACAATAATGTACTGTATTTAAATACCCATAGGTCAGTGTTATGAAATTGGTTACGGTTCAATGAAAAGGAAGCATTGTTAAAGTCGTCAAAAGGAAGAAATAATGTACATTCGCATGTAAAACTGTTAAATAAATACTGTATAGAAAACAACAAGTAAAATAACATAAATATAAATTTTGATTTAAAGCTTTCGTGACTCCAGGGATTCATATTCTTGGTTCTTTCGGTAAAGTCACGTAGAAGGGAAACAATAAAATAATGAAAATATAAAACATAAATATAGTTTAAAAAATCCGTTTTATTTTATTGATGCTGCCTGGTTTGTCTCGGAAAGGGCGCAATGAGTAACCACAGTTGCGCACACGGGGAACGTGTGCATTCACACAGACTCCCGTATAGCCTTTACAGACTGTTAGGGCAAGTCCACCTATGAAAGCCGGCATGGCACACGAGGGGGTGAATGGCCAGCACCACGCCCTGCTGCCTTTTTTCCCCCAGTGGTGATGTTTACACACCGCACCACGTGCTCGTTTGAGGATGAATCGACCTTGGGGAGGCCCAGGACCTATTCAGATAATCGTCACTGGTGTTGGTTGTGAGCGGGAATTGAACTCGGGTCGCCGCTTTTGTAGCGCAGCGTGCTAACCATTACACTACCAATCCCCATACACTCATTTTCACACACACGTGGCCGCTTGCACATACACTCCCAGCGTACGACTGACTCATTACATCTTGAGGAGGATCGTTGAGCTGAACAAAATAGTTCTGCAAACGCGAGTCTGTAAGTGTGGGTGTTCATAAGTCGGTTGTTGGTGAGTCGAGGACTGCCTGCATGTTACACTTATTTCGCACCCTACGGAGCCAACTATGATAATCGGAGGTGCGGGGGGAGGACAACAAATCAAACACAAAAATGGGGAACAATGATTACTGCTCACAGCCACAAACACCACTGCCAATAATCTGAATCGGTCTTGGACCTCTCATAGGTCGACTCAGCCCCAAATTATTATCTGGTGCGGTGTGTAAACATCGTCACAATAGAGATGAAGGCAGTCTGGCGTGGTTCTGGCCACCCACTCCCTCGTGTATTGTGCCGGCCTTCATAGTGCTCGCTTACGGAACTTGCTCCTATAGTCTGTTAAGGCTATACGGAGGATCCTTGTCTTTGGGAAGCTGTGAAGGGGGCACAGTTCGTGCATCTGCCGGTCGTCTCAGTCAATCAACCCATAGCATCTGGGTCTGTCCCATGACCTGTCAGCAGTGAGCCTTCGACACCTAACGTGATAGCCTCAAAGTGCACATAGCTTGGTACAAGCGCCGTGGTGATGTCACTGCCCCTTCGTAACGGTTTTTGTTGAAGTTGTCCCAGGTTGCTGCTGGCTTGCCTCCCCATCAACAGTTGGCCAGGAATGGTGGTGGTGGGTTACCTATGTTGAACTTCTTTTGCACTCTATGTAAAACGCCTTAAAATGCACGCAAGGCTGGTGAGAAATATGTTTTCTCTAACTTCATGTTCCAGGTTATATCTAAAGTGACCCCTTAGGATAGAATCATCCGGTTGGGTGACTTAACCCCAGAGTCATTGGAAGACATGGATCAAATAAGCTCAATTATTATGGTAGCTGGAAGCTGCTAGACTTCTGTGCAGCTCATGGGCTTGTAATTACCAACGGGAGGCCCACTCCCACCATCTACAACATCCCTTGCCCAAGAATGCAGAGGATGTTTACCACAGCCTTCGGTCAGAGGTTTGGAGAGCCTTGCAGCACTGCAAGGATAAGTGGTGGTCACAGGTTGCTGAGCAGATTTAAATTGCCTCAGTGTCCCGTGATCACAAATCTTTAATGTCATTAAAAAGTAACTTGCAGCACCACACCTGTAATTTATTTAAATTAAATAACTGATCGGATCTTAAATTCCCAGGAACAGGTTTGAAGAGCATTTGTATGACATCTTGGGGGAGGGGAAATCCCTCAGCCCAGATAACATCATGGGGTAAGGTAGGGATGACCCTGCTGAGGCTGCTGTGCCTCAAATATTGGTGGAAGTTGCCACCCTCCGTGAGTGGCTGGCTGAGGTAGCATCTGTTGAGGAAGAAATGAAGGCGATCCAGAGTTTGAGATCAGGAAAATAACCGGGCAGAGATGATCTCCCAAGCAAACTGCTGAGGGAGGGTGGCAGTTTTGTGCAGGCTGCCTTACATGACATCATCACAACTGTCTAGACCACTTGAATTGAAGGATGCCATGATGGTTGTAATGTTTTTTTTTAAAGAGAACTACACTGTAACGACTACAAGCGTATCTCCCTCCCCAATGTACCAAGAAATGTCCCCGTAAGGATTAGTCAACGTCGCCCCCTTGTCAAGCACTCTGAAGAAAAACACTTCTGGAACCCCAAAATAGACCGGGATGGTCCTGCATCGATGCCATATTCTCACTCTGTCTACTACAGCAGAGGTGGAGAATTCCAACAAAATCTACATTTATGTTTTATTGGACCGGTAAAGGCCTATGCTATCATCAATAGGTTTTGGCTCTGCGTCGTTCTTCATGCTTTCGGAGTCCCTGGCTTTCTGTTCACAATCATTAAATACATTCATAACGGTGGGCAGGCCCTAGTAAAGCTACGTGACTGGGAGTCAGAGCAATTCCTTTTTCACCTTAGGGTGCGACAGGGATGCCCTGTAGCTCATACGCTATTTCACATCTTCTTTGACCACGTAGTTCAAAAAGGTTTCCATTAGTTTACCGAAGGAATTTCCATCTGACAGAGACCAATAGACTCGCACATAGACCCATATATTTATCACACAGAAACGCATAAACTCACACAGAGACTCATATACTCATACAGAGAACCATATACTTGCATAGAGACCCATATACTGACAGAGACCCAGAGACTTCAACAGAGACTCAAAGATTTGCACACAGACCCTTCGATTTACATATAGACCCAGAGACTCACACAGACCCATTGACTCACGCAGAGACCCATCTATAGAATCACGGCTTCCACATCCGTAGAGAACAGGCGTGCAAATGTACGACTGGAAAGGGGGGGGGGGTATACACGTATACTCACTTGTGGGTGGAACTGGAATATTGGAAGACTGTTGCTCCTGTTACACACAGAGCAATGTGGGAGCAGGGTTCCTCCTCTTACACACAGGGCGATGATGGAGCAGGGTTCCTCCTGTTACACACAGCGCAATGTAGGAGCATGGTTCCTCCTGTTACACACAGTGCGATGATGGAGCAGGGTTTATCTTGTTACACACAGTGAGATGTTGGAGCAGGATTCCTCTTGTTACATACAAGGCGATGTTGGAGCAGGGTTCCTTCTGTTACACACAGAGAGCGATGTGGGAGCCGGGTTCCCCATGTTACACACACACGTGGCGATGTTGGAGCAGGGTTCCTCCTGTTACACGATGCAAAGTCGAAACAGGATTGCCTCCTGTTACACATGGTATGATGTAGGAACACAAGGGAGTGGTTGAGTGAGCGGAGGAGGAGCCCAGCGATGACAGTGGGGAGAGTGAGCAACGTCTCCTCTCGGAGTCGCGCAGATGCCCTTGATTGACTCATTTGTATTGCTAAGGAAAGAGAGAGCATGGAGTGTATAATATATTAATTTAGTGTGTATTTGTGCAAATGTCTTTTCGAGGCACAGTGGTTAGAGAACTAAGCTAAGGACAGCTGAGCATAGAGGACTTCACAACTGCGAGAGGGGGCGTCACTCACTCGAAGAGAACCACACCTTGTGTTCGAACATAGCCCTGTGTAATGTATGTAGAACCTCTTTCGCACCATACGTAGCCAACCGTGCTAATCGGAGAAATCCTGCTCCAACATCGTTCTGTCTAGATTGAAAACTAGATTTTTTAAATCTATATTAAAAGCAAATTTCTTTATAACTGCGTTTTGTGTTTAGTTTGTTGTACTTTCCCTGCATCTCCAATTAG